CTCTCTCTCTCTCTCTCTATCGCGCGCGCGATCTTAGGTCTTAAAATGATATTATATACACAGGGTTGGAAAATACATTATAGATATATTTATATCTAATATATACAATAAATATATGTATGTACAGGGTGTTCCCGTATAAGTGGCTACCCCTTTTTATCTCGTAAATTAATAGAGATAGACCAAACAAATATAATATCAAATTAAACGGCTCTGAGTAAACTTTATTAAAATTGTCACTTTACCATGCAAAAATTAATCATGTCTTTCCGCTCTCTAACATAGATAACATTTCTAAGTGATCACTGTGCTTACAATAAAGTTTACTCAGAGCCGTTTAATTTGATATTATATTTGTTAGGTCTATCTCTAATAATTTACGAGATAAAAAGGGGTGGCCACTTATAGGAGGACACCCTGTATATACATATATACATATGTATATATATATATATATATATATATATACAGGGTGTTCCCGGGTACATGTATATATATAATGAGATGTAGTTTCAATGAGTCGTAGTTTCATACATAAATTCTTCAATATCAATCCCTATAGACGCTTATCTCTATAGGCAGATGAACTGATAAGTTTGCACAGATGGGTCTCTCGAATTAGAAGGTACAAACACTGTTTTATTAGATATATCGTACCATCTTGATAAAGATATCTTCATTCTATTTTCCTTTTTCTATTTTCCTATCTTTTTCAATTAACGCTTACCTCGATACATAATTACATATTCGTTGCTTTATATCGTTTTCCGCAAGACGGCACATTTACCCTGACATCAATTTCTGACGTACTTCTCACATGTATTTCTCACGGAAATTTCTTCATCTCAAACATCAGTCGATCATCAACGTTAGTTGCATATGCATTACGATACGTCGCTGAAAAAGAAATTGCCAAAATTTCTCAAATCGTGTGTATTATCTATATCTACGAATAGATATTTTTGTGAATTTTGTGTTATTTTTATTATAGGACACGATTCGAAGAAAATCACCAAGCGTATGTATCACGTTCCATAAAATTGGATTCTTCACTCGAAAAACTGAAACTACGTTTCACGTTTCTTGAACATTTTCCTTTTAAACTTTCGATAATTTTATTGCGAATTTAAAATCAGTAAATTAAAGAAAGATAGCGAGAAATTTGGACATTGAATATTTATATATTTTTAAAATGCTGGAAAATTCTGTCTCGTCAAAAATTAGGAAATAAATATATAATAAAATATCAATTCAGAGAAACTCTTATCATCAATTTACGTTTATCTAACGTTTAAAGCTTTTAACAATAGATCACATCATACGGGAGATAAGAGATTTTGCAATTACCAAGCTATACATGAGCAATCATTTATTAAATCAAATATAAGATCTTTATAATTAATTGTAATATATAATATTAATTTTTTAAAGTTTAAAAAAGTCTAAAAAATTAAGTAACAATTATAAAGTTATATAATTGATTTAAAGATCGATAATTTGTAATATCATAATTTACATTCAATCTATTGATTTCCCAATCTATTGATTTTCCAATTTATAATAGTTATTTTTTAAATGAAATTTTGAAAACAACCAGAAGAGAAAAAAATTGAGAACAAATGTGTCAGTGGGGAAAGAAGCTTTTGATTAGCCTAAATTCCACAATGAACAAGATTAATTAATTTAACTTTATGTTCTCTTAATTTTTATTATTATGCTATTCTTCTATTTTCTATTTTTTAGACATAGAACGCCGGGAGAGATTGTTACATTAATTCCATCTCGTAATAAAAAATTATGAAATAAACCAGGATTCGACAAGAGATGGGCCCAACCCAATAAAACCCGGTGATTTTCTTCGAATCCTATGTCCTATGCATTTTTACTCTCTCTCTCTCTCTCTCTCTCTCTCTCTCTCTCTCTTCTACCTTTCTTCTACCGCAAAGGTAGATATACTCTCCAGTGGATAACGATTCGTTTAAACCCGGCCACTTGCTCGTGCCTAATGTAACAGGCTGTAATAGACCAAGATTGTAATAAATGAACAGTGAATTAGTATTGACTGATTGACCGCGCGCGACCTTCCGCTTGCCGCCAGCGCGTTATGTATGAGCGCCGGCCGATCTCTCCTGTCTCATGCCGTGTGAACCTCAGCATCGCGGCGGACCAACGAGGTTAATTAGTTCACAAGTGGCCAGCTCCCATCTCCCGTCATCTGCGTCGCGGCGACGCGCGACGCGACGGTGTACGGGGGAGCTAAAGACTCGGATCGTCACTTCGCGACACGGTCCGGCCACTCGGAACACGTGCAGCGATCATGCATGAGGTTCGCCGCGGGCGTCAAGGATCTCTCGAGCCGCTCGCGCGCTTACTTACCTGCATTTTTTGCTCATCGCTACGAACGATCGAAACTCGGTTTCGTTGAATCTTAATTCTGTCTCTCATTATCGCACATTCCTAGTCGTACAGATTACTCACTTGGCAACGTCGGTCGAGGGGGGGACAGATCAGATTCGAGCTTCTCTTGTTTTCGTCAGTTTGTAAGTAAGTCGCAAATTCAAATTTCGACAGTTGGCTGGTATGTGGACTACGCACGGGCGCGTTCTCACGATTTCACGGTGCATCATTTTATCCTTGTTATTCGCCGAAATATTAGACAAAGATAAAATAACATATCTAGACGCACAGATGGGCGGATGTTTTCGCAGATTTGCTGCGATTATATTCATAATCGATTCTTATTTCAAGACCGTCTTTAAGTGTAATGTCTTAAGATGTTAATACAGCCCTGTGATTGGCTTATGACATCTTAAGATTGTACTTTAGATGATCTTAAATATGAGAGAACCGACTATGAATACCGGTCTAGGTTCCACCATAAGAGTGCACGGAGGCAGTTCAGGTTCAGGCAGTGCAGATTTTAACATTGCTGTTAAATAGAAACTGCACTGCGCGTCGCACCGAGTGCAAACTGCAGTGCTACGGTCAGCTGATGAGTCAGCTGCAGTCCCATTAGTCCATGGGAAAACGCGCATCGATTTAGCGCACTGTTCGAATCAAATCGTACATTTAATTCGCGTTATTTTTTTTATCAAAATACACAATCCTTTAATAAATCTCCGGACGATTTTCCAAAAGCGCTGTGAAAGATGCGCATTCAACTCTTACTGTCCAATTGTTGTGAAAAGACGGATAAATTCGCGTATAAATATACACGGATGTTTCAGCGTTATTCTCAGTATCACCTTGAATTGATGATAAAATATTTAAAAAGCCGCTCGGTCTCTTACGCGCTCGCGGCGCTCGCGCATTTTATCTCAATCGGCTGTCATCACAAATCAAGCAACTGCTGCTAGCTAGGTAAACGTTAAGTTAGGTTAGGTTGGGCTCACGACGCGTACTCATCGTGACATTCGCGACTCGTTTCTTTCGAGGATGGTGCTCTCGTTCACAGGATTACCTTCCTCGAAACGACTGCTGTTGCTCCTCCTACAATGCTCGCTATGTAAGTTGCGCAAAAGGTGGCCGCTGAAAAAATTTTCGCCCTCGCTTCAATTTTGCATATTATTGTAGCTTCGATGGGTTTTCAAACATATATATATAATTTTGCTGTTGTCAAAGCGACACATGTCATTTGGAATGTTTAATGTATAATAACGGCGAATTATTTAAAAATCAAAAAACCTACGAAATTTATAAAATTTTATAAACCTTAAAGAAAAAAATCAAATCTTTTAAAATTTAAATTAATTATAATATTATATGTTATAATATTATAATAATATTATAGTATATATACACATTCTTATTAACTCAATATTAAAAAATTAATAATATAATTGAATAAATGGTAATAAAAATTTCACAAAAATATTTAGCTTTGATGGGTTTTCAAACAAATAATTTACTGTTATCAAAGCGACACATGTCATTTCAATGATTTATTGTAATAACGACCAATTATTTAAAAATCTAAAAACCTACGAAATTTATAAAATTTTACAAACCTCGAAAAGAAAAAAAATCAAATTTTTCAAAATTTAAATTTAATTATAATATCATATATTATAATATTATAGTATATATACACATTCTTATTAACTCAATATTAAAAAATTAATATAATTGAGTAAATGGTAATAAAAATTCTACAGAAATATTTAGCTTCGATGGGTTTTCACATAAATAATTTGGCTGTTCATCAAAGCGACACATGTCATTTCGAATGTTTATTGTAATAACGGCCAATTATTTAAAAATCTAAAAACCTACGTAAATTTATAAAATTCTATAAACCTCGAAGAAAAAAAATCAAATCTTTCAAAATTTAAATTAATTATAATATATATTATATTATAATAATATTATAGTACATATACATACATTCTTATTAACTCAATATTAAAAAATTAATAATACAATTGAGTAAATGGTAATAAAATTCTACAGAAATATTCAGCATAGACTGTAATTGGTGATGCTTGTGTATAGAAAGAATAAAAATGTAATAAATGTTCCGTTTCGAACCGGCAGTAAGGCCGGAAGTGGTCGTGTCGCACGTGCGCTTGCTCGTCCGAGCGCGGCGAGCAATGCGCGGTAGTTTTCGAAGAATAATTACATTTATTAAAGCATTAATCATTGGATCACGCTCCGTTCGGAATAGCGTGATTGCGTGTTCCCGCTATGTACCATCTTTCAGGCTGAATCTGCCGCCTCCTCGTTATTTGTCGCGAGTCGTCGTGCAGGGCGCACCGTTCTCCGTTATCTCTCGATTCTGCTCTAAAATTTCTTCTGGTACGCCTTCCCGTCATCTAATTACCTTACACTTTCTTAAAGTACGCTCCTCCAATCTCTCCAAATTAATTTCGATTTTAGGTTTTTCCAATTCAGCTCGCAAATATTGTTAAAACACGCCAATTGTCTCCGCGTTCTTCTTAATAAATCTTCATACAAGAGAATTATCTTAACAATTCTTCATCTTTCCAGGTCACCGCGCAATGGTGAGCAAGCTCTGGTGCCAGGAGATCGGGCGCAGGTGGAGACAAGCGGCCAGACAGGAGCCGCCGCAGGCGCGGGTGCTGTCCGAGCCGAAGTGCCAGCTATACGTGGCCACCTGGTACCTGTACTATCGATGGATCATTTTCTTCGTCTGGACCGCCTTTGTCGTGTGCTCGGTGTTCGAGTTCGGCAGTTACAATCCGCTGATGCAATACGAGAAATGGCCAATCTATCTGACCAACTGGGATGCGGTTTTGGGCTTCGCACAGGCGCTGATTGGCGGTATTCTCGTGTCGAAGCGCTGGCGATTGCAAAAGACGTCCGGCTTCGAGCCGTGCGGTCTCAAATTGGAGTTCACTGAGCGGCTGTACTGGTTTCTGTATGTCGTCACAACCAACATGGCAATCGGGGTGACGGTGTGCTACTGGCTCGCCGTGTACAATCCGGAGATACATCAAGTGGACCCACTCAACATCATGATGCACGTGTGCAACAGCGTTCTGATGTTGATTGATCTATTTATCACCAGCATACCGTTCCGTCTGCGAAACTTCTGGTGGTGCCTGTCGATCGTCCTGTTCTACGTGATCTTCTCGGTGATCTACTACGTCGCTGGTGGCCTCGACAAGAATGGTTATCACTACATCTACAAAGTCCTCGATTGGAAGAGACCGGTGCGGACGTCGCTCGTTTGTATTGGCGGTTTCACGTTTGTGACGGTGCTACATTGTGTTACCTGTATGCTGGCGAACATCAGAGACCGGATCTATCGTAAGATTGCAGAGAAATTCAGTAAACCTGCACCGATAAGCATGACGGAAGATAAGCCATTTTCAGAAAAACGAGCGGAAATAGTTTAATTATTGAAATTTTATATAGAAATTTTTCTTTTTAAACGTCTAATGTCCTCGGATTGTAAGACCCCGCGAGGCATTGGAAATTGGAATGGTCTAATATCTGGCAAGACAAGATGAAACGTGCCTTCTCTTGATGTAGCTGTGCCTGCAAGTAGAGTCCTTCTCTGGCAAGCGAGCTTTCTGTGGTCATCTATAATATAGCTTGCTTGTAGAAATTGGCTAAAACTTCCTGTATGATATCTTGATATGTATCATGAGCTTGATTATTTAACGAACATATTTATTTAATGAGTGATATACAACCGAGTAGGTGATCTCTTGCACTGTGAGCTCTTTGTCTTTGGCAATATTTCTAGTAAAACTAGAAAAACAGTAATTATTTTTAACGATACAATACAGTATACTGATTGTAAAGTTTCCAATTTATAGATTTTATGAAAAAAAATCGTCCTCAATTTGTAAATTCTACACAAAATTTAAAAAAAATTACTTTTTTTTTTTTGAAATTATAATATGACAATATCGTAGAAGCCTAACTTACAATTATGAACACTTTAATTTGGTTAATTAGACTCGATTGTTTTGGACGACACAACAGCTGTTTGCTGTTTATGCGGAGGTAAAAGTTCATATAAAATAGTTTTTTTTTTTTTCTTTAAATGGTTGTGTAAATTTCACTATAGAAACAATAATCACGTAAGCATTCCATTCAATCATGTTGAAGTATATTCGAATTATTATTATTACGAATCAGTATGTTTATTTCGTATTTAGTATTGTATGATATTTTTATTTATCTCGTATTTTTTTGTAATACTAAAAAATGGCAGCTTGAATATATTTAAACTGTTATATTTAGATTGATAAAAATTATCATATTTTGCTTTAACCCTTCTGTCAATGCACAGATACCCGGATCACAATTATTTTCTTGCAAATATGAAAAACTGAAACAATGTCTAGAGATTTTTCATTCTAAATAACTACTTTGATAAGATGCAAAATGCTTTATGTAGTACTTCAGTTTCACCGCAAAACTGTTCTATATTAATATCCAATTTTCGTCTTTGCTATTTGAATATTTACTATATGTATGAGGAATCGATGGGACCTTGTAATAGTTCTAAATATTTTTGTGTTTTTTTTTACATTCAATTTAAAACATTAATTTTAGTAGCAAATAATATATAAATATGTTGACTGATGCTTGTTTTTCATGATTAACGATGCCAATATTATTTCCTTATCTTGCATATTATGCTCGCGATAATTTCTCTATTGTGTAATATTTTGCAATTATGAATTAATAAAAAAACGTCAAAGAAACTCAGTTACACAGCAAAACAGACAACAATATGAATCAATGAATATGAAATAATGAACATTAAAATCTATTCTTTTGATACAAATTAGGTACATGAAAATTTCTATTGTTTGGAGATTTTTTAAAATTCAGTAGAGAGAAAGAGAGAGAGAGAGAGAGAGAGAGAGAGAGAGAGAGAGAGAGAGAGAGGAGGAAGAGGAGGAGGGAGGAAAAAAGAATTAGCAATTGCTACAATAGATGTTTTTCAGGATATTTTAAAATATACAATGAATACCTGGATATCTAATGCATTTATGACAAAGTGAAAATTTATACTTTGACAAAAGGGTTAAACGCTATTGAATTCATTCCAGATTACGCGAACATTGTGTATTTAAGAATACACCTTATATGAATGTTCTTTGATATTATCTAATATTCTTATTGACATTATAATTATAGAAGATTGAGATTTTTTTATACCTATATTGAAATTCAGGATTTAATAACACATATATAATAATTAATAGTTTAATGGACGTCACATTATTGTGTTAGTTGAAGATTTTGATACCAGGAATTATTATTAATTAATAAATAAGACAAGGTGCTAAATGAAAAGTATGTAAAAACAAAATGTTTATATAAGGATGCACATAGAATTTATCAATATATATACAGGGTGGACCATTTTAATCCATCCAGTCGAATATCTCGAAAATCAAGCCCGGGAGAGAAAAATTTTTCAGACAAAAGTTGTAGGATTTCGAGGGGGACATAAGATGATAACATTGGTTTGACCCTGAGTGGCGTCGTCAAGGTCACTTTGAATTTTTTTTAATGGAACCTCCAATTTTTCATTACATGTTCTTATAGCACGCCTCGAGAACTTTCCAAAACACATAAATAAAACATTTTTTTATGAAATAAATCTTGAGTTATGAAGCTTGAAAGTTGGAGTACTGTCGGCATTAGCATCATCCAAGGTGTCCAAACACTAACTAAAGATGGCCAAGGTCGTTGGCCTTTATCAATGTCATGATCCTGAACAACATTCAAAAAGTTTTAGTTAGTGTTTGGACACCTTGGATGATGCTAATGCCGACAGACTGAGTCGACAAGGCACACAGGGGATA